AATTCATCAGAAAAGACTGCAGTTTGTGATTAGGAATATACTTTACTGAAGATGTGCTATGAAAATTGGGAATGCTTCTATGAATAAATAAAATTATTAGCAATGTTAAAAGATTCTTATGATAGGTACATATAATTTAGAAAACAAAAGTTTGTAGAATCTTGGGATCCAAACTATTATCATTGACTAATAAGTTCTGTATTAATGATAATGACTATTATTGTAGATTGATACGTAGCTAGTAATACACATGAATTCAGCTCTTGATTAGTCAAATAAACAAACAGATAACAATCAAACTGATAACTAGAGAGAGAAATTGTAAGAGTACAAATTAACATTTTCTTTTTTTATATAAAAATGGACGTATTTTAAGTCATGAATAGAAAAATAAGTTTGCAATATATATGCACTTTTCCATTAATGAAAATATAAAAACAAAAAGGATTCAAAGTGAAATGATGTTAGGTGAGCTTAATGTATTTATGCAATAATATAAAATATCAATACCTGGGATATTAGGTCACTGTAAAAAAGCAGAGACTGACATAGAAGGTTTCACTTATTCTATGAAATAGTATAAAACAATTGCTGACCTCCCAAATGTCTGAAAATGCTAAGATATCACTTGTTTCTTGTTTCTTTTTAATCTTGGAGTAGCCTATCTTTCGAACCATGCCTACTATGTTACCAAAAGACCAAGGTGGCTCTAGTTGTATAAGGCAGAGCACAAGTAAAAACAATAAACCAGTAATGTTTTAAAAAAATAAACATCAAAATGTACATTTTAAAAAAAATACAATTTGTTTTTTTTTAAATCTTAATCTGTAATTTTATAAATAAAACAAATGGCAATATAGATATATAACTTCTTTACATTATATTAAAAAAACATATATAGTTACATAATACCATGCTTTCCTGAAAATAAGACCAGGTCTTATATTAATTTTTGCTCCAAAAGACCCATTAGGGCTTATTTTCAGGTGGTGTCTTATTTTTTTCATCACAAGGTCCAGCCCAGTTGGACACCTCCCTAGCCCATACATAGGAGGCAAAGAGCACATGGGGGCCAACAGTATTCGACAGCAGCCACAGCCCGCTGGCCCCTTGGCCCGGGCACTCTGGGGTTGTGCAGGCCACGCAACACAGGTCTGGCAGGCCAGATCATGTGACTCCTCCCAGGACTGACTCCACCTGCTGTTGGTGTTGTCACGGCAAGGTGGCCTGAATGTCAAGAGAGCCAGGGGCAGAGGCAAGCAGAAGGAATCTGGCAGGCAGGCAGGGATGGGGGCTGGCTGGAGCTTCAATGATCAGTTTCTTTCTCATGCTCACTCCCAAGCAGCCTCTGGAGACAGCTTGAACTGCCCTGCAGGCTTTGCCAGCTTTCTCTTCCTTTGTGGAAGAGCGGAAAAGAAATCTGGGTGTCCCGAGATGTCCCACTCTGGAAAGCGACTCAGAGGCTCCGCCCAGTCCCCACCTCCACCCCCCTGCCAGATTTCTGATCCAAGGCAGGGATAGAAAAGAGGCAGCCTCTGCTTGCCACCCCCCCAGCTCTCTTGACACTCAGGCCACCTCGTGGCAGCAGCACTGGCAGCAGGCGGAAGCAGAGGCACAGGGGAAAGGCATGCAATCTGGCCTGCCAGATCAGTGTTGCATAGGCTACATAGGCCTAAAATGCCCTGACCCAGAGGCAGGCGGGCTACGGCTGCTGTCGGACACCATCGTCCCCCATGCATTCGCTACCTCCTGTGTTTCAATGGATGTACTAAATGCATCCATCTGGCTGATGAAAAGGTAGGGCTTATATTATGGGGTAGGGCTTATATTACGAACATCCTGAAAAATCATGCTAGGGCTTATTTTCTGGTTGGGTCTTATTTTCTGGGAAACACGGTATATTCTAGAAAATAAGCCATAGAGTAAAGATAAAATAAAAAGGCAAAAAAGCACTATAAAAGATAGAAAAGAATACAATAGAAAATTGATAATAATAGGGGAGAAAATTACGTATAGTCAAGGCCATGGTTTTCCCAGTTGCAATGTATGGCTTTGAAAGTTGGACCATAAGAAAGGCCGAGCACAAAAGAATTGAGGCCTTTGAACTATAGTGCTGGAGAAGACTCCTGCAAGTCCCTGGACTGCAAGGCGATCAAACCAGTCAGTCCTAGAGGAGATCAACCCTGACTGCTCTTTAGAAGGCCAGATCCTGAAGTTGAAACTCAAATACTTTGGCCACCTAATGAGAAGGAAGGACTCACTGGAGAAGAGCCTAATGCTGGGAAAGATTGAGGGCAATAGAAGAAGGGGATGACAGAGAATGAGGTGGCTGGATGGAGTCACTGAAGCAGTAGGCGTGAG